TGGAATGATTTCCACTCTGCTGAGTGAAGGGGTACGATGAGAGGGCATTCAGGTTGCTGACATGCAACAGAGGGAGAGCCAAGCCATTTACATTCTCTTAATGAGCACTATTTAACTATTGTCTTTAAAAAATGATTTTTATGAAGATCTACCTGAAGCACAAATTTTTGGTTTTGTAGTTCAAACCCCAATTCAGCTGTTTACAGAACCACTGGATCAGCAACAAAGATTTGTTTCCCCAAACGTGTTGTAATTTAGTAGTAGTGCATCACGTGTACAGGAAAATTAAGTAGGACGGATAATTAGAAGCAGTGCCTGCGAATCAAAAAAAGAGCACATTCCGATTGTCTCTGAGGAATGACTGTGACGCCACAGCCCATCAGGATCACATGGCATCAGTGGCTGCTGGCCCCACTGCACGCCCAGGGCTCCACGCTGCAGGTTTGCTTGTGGACGGTGGGGAAGAGGTTTTCCGGTCCCAGGTCTGCAGAGACCAAAGCACACTCACTTCCTCATCTCCCATGAGAGGGGCCAGTTTCTATTTAATGCATTTTCTTCTACTCATTTTGATAGACTCTCTAAGTTACCTGATTTAGGTGGAAACAGGAGGAAATGGATTTTGGTTGAATATAAAGGATATTCCGTTGAGGACCTGCACAGCATGGCATAACCCAACCACAAGGTAAGTAGGGCGCCTTCCGGGCCCCTGGATTACCACTGTGTGCTGGACCCCTTGGTTCCCAGCTCAGCAGAGGCTTTGGCTTTTGCTCTTTCAGAAAATAAACCAGAAAGTTCTTTTTCCTCAATAGCATCTGCCTATCAATGCTTTTAAACCGCACTGCTCGCTGGGAGGGGGTTCCACTGAGGGACAGCCAGATACTTCTGGGCAGGGTAATGGGCTAGAAAAAGGAAGCAATTACCTGTCCAAAAAACACCAGAGTTGTGTACTCAATGGAATAATTATACATTTGTAAACTCCAACTTTCAAATAAGCTGGCTGCCTGGGGCAGCTTTTGTAGATGCTTGATCCAGTTTCTGAATAAAAGGGTCCTTGATGCTGATTTAGACAAGGTCACTTTACTGAAACTCCGCACACAGCAGCTGGTGGTAGACTCGACTACAGAATTAGGGCAATTCAATCAACATCAGAGCCCTTCATTTAAAAGATGGGGCATAAGATTGGAAGCAGCAAAGGAAAAAAGGAGTCTATTCCCAGCTCAGTCCATCCTCAAAAATTAGTCTCAGTGGAGGGAAATGGGTTCTAACCCACCAGCCCCTCTGAGCAGACATGAAAAAAGTAACTTGTCACTTTTTGGAAGAAAAACTGTTCTGAAATTGTAAAGGTTGTGCAAATTTAGACAATTTCCTAAATTAACATGTATATACAGAAGTTCACTGTTGGGTTAAATTCCACTTTAGAAAATTGTATTAATAAACAAATGTAACTTTTTTCCACGACAACATAGGGGTATTTTTTATTATATAACCACATAAATTCCAGGACTTTCAATCCAGTCTAGGACTTTGGTAAGATAGATGTTTGAGTGTCTTGTGCTTGATTGAATTCTTCCTGTTTTTGATTGATATTGTAATACTGAAGGTGATTTCCCATTTTTGAATGGCCTAAAACACGAGTTGTGGAAGACAGTAGTTAAGGCCGCATAACTTTTTGTATTAAGTTGCTTAATAAGCCTACACTCGGGAATCCCAACACTGTTCTCGAACCTGTGTGGTCATGGGCCAGAGCCACCCGTGGGAGATGTGCCCAGGAACCACCAGGCATTTAAATGCAGACTGTACCCCTCAAGAGCAATCTGTACCTCCACCCGTATCCCAAGGGATGACCTCGTTTACAAATAGAGTTGAAAGTGTCAAGTTGGGAACTGCAGACTTGGTAAAGGTAAGCTGCTTTTCCATTTCACTAATCTTGTCCTTAGCAGTTTGTCCTTTACTCCAGCTTTTGCTTGAGGAATGAGGTCTCTTAGTTGGATTTGAACTATTCTGAGGGCTGCTTGTGCTCCTGGCCTGGTAGGTCTACAAGGTATTTTTTGTCAGTCCTACGCTGTGAAAAAAGAAAAAGGTAGCTCAGTTATCTCCAGAGGAATAACAGGTACCTAGAAAAATGTCATTTCTTCAGTGATCATTGCTGAATAATCTGGCGTGTTCTGGAAGCCAGGCCCCCTCGTCTCTGGGTAGGCAGAGATGAGCTGCTCGAAGGTTCAGAAACCTGCTCCTTCACTTCTCCCAGCTTTCCACGCTCGAGAGCGAGCAGAGGCCTAGAGGCTGAGCTGTTTGGTGCCTTTGACTACCACGTGGGACAAAGCCCAGACTCTGTGGTCCATTTTGCAGCCAGGAGAAAGGCCCCTTTTCCCAGGTGTGCTGACTCACTCTGGCTTTCTCTGTAAGCCAGGAGTAGTAAAAATACATAAAGTAGGAAAGGATGCTGTCCTAGAAACAAAAGGTGTTGTAAATTAGGTAAATGTCTCTGTTCTTTGTTGAGTAAAGGCTTTGCAGCGGAATTATTCTGCAAATTGTAATATGAAAACAAGCCACGAGTGGACCGAGGGCCCAGCGGAACTTTCTGCGGTGATGGACATGTTCTGTACATGCACTGTTCAGTACGGCAGCCACCGACATGTGTGATTGCTGAACACTTGAAACGTGACTGCAGGCTAAGGAGCTGAATTTTTCACTTTATATGATTTTAAGTTTCAATGGCGACCTGTGGCTAGTTGCCTATGCCTGAGAGAACACACTTTTGTATATACTTTGTTGCTGTTTATTTTACCTCAAGGAGGTTTTTATGTAAAATGTGTATATAAAATTGCTTTAGATTGCCATTTACTCCAGCAAGAACTTCAAACAGTGGCTGAGAAACTATGTCCACTCCCTGCCTGCACCGTGTTCTGAGCCTTGGGAAGTCCTGCCCTCAAAGCGAACTCTGACTGATGCTGGGTGCTATCGAATACGCACTCTAGTCTCCGGACCCGTCCTGCCATTTATTCTCATTTTGTGATTCCGGCACCACGTCCTCTGGGAGTGCAGTTGATGGACAGTAGAGCCTATTGCCATTTTAATTGCTTTACTTTCAAATCATCAATCTCATGGGTGAGTTTTTTCCCTAGTAACTCACTCAGCCCACATTTTGTCTGAAGCCTCTACCCAGGAGCGCACCCCTCCCTCCTTCACCAGGGCCAGCTTCCCGGGCACCACGCTCAGAAGGGCCTCAATACTTGGTTTAATGAGGACATTTTTCCATTTTTTGTACAGGTAGAGCGGGAGGGAGAGAGAGAGAAACATCAATGTGAAGGGACACATCGAGTGGCTGCCACCCGCACGACCAACCAGGGCCGGGGACAAACTGCAACAGAAGTACGTGCCCTTAGCGGGAATCGAACCCGGGTCTCTCCGGACCGCAGGCCGATGCTCTAACCGCTGAGCCAAACCGGCCAGGGCTCTCCTGTAGTTCTTAATTTTATCTTCAAATTTGTGTTTTTTTAAGTGAAGTCTGCTGAGGCAAAGGAGCGCACACGGGGGCAGAGGAGATATGTGCAATATATATGTCCACTGTTCTTACCGTCCATTCACTTACGGCTTCGCGGTGCCCGTGAGCAGAGTTCCGGTGGGCCCACCACACAGGACAGTTCAGAGATTCAGAGTACAAGGTAAGCACGCTATGAATACAACTGAGTACGTCGGGGCACCGAAAGCCCCAAAAGGCCTTGCTCTCCATTTAAACCAGAATTACTTTGAATGCAAAAAAAAGGTAATGACATTCTAAGAAGCATGAATGACCATGGAGCCCTAACATATTTTCTTACTCCTGTTACTTTCCTGTATTATTAGCCAACCACTTATGCTGAAAGTGATGACATAGAAGAAAAGGAAAACGTATGTAAGCTCCTAGTTTTTCTTTCAGACCTTCCTTATTCATCAGTAATGAAAGTGTGTTGATAGAATGTGTACATATCAAGAAGTGAAATAACATTTGAGCTACTTTTATGCAGTGTTTCCATGGTTCTGGTAAGAATACATATACATACAATATGTATACATAAGCTATGAAATATAATTTATGTACTTTTGGTGATTCTGCATGAGTCAAATGTTTTATATTTGCAGCTCAAACTGGACTTAAGCAATGTAAAGAAAGATGATAAAATTAATACTAACAATTTAAAATTTTAATTTTACTTAGAACAGCATTAAGTAGCAAAAACCGCTATAACAGATTGTTAGAGAGACCGTGGGAGAAATGAACAACATTTCAGTACCTTTAATGGTACTGTTTCCTAATATTTGAACCAGAGGCCTCACATCTTCATTTTGCGCTGGGTCCTACATATTAGGTGGCCAGCCAGCTCTGCTCCTCACTGCTCTGCTCCTCCCAAGGCAGGTCTTGAGCCTTTCCTTTTCAGAACCCCCTTTGAGGACCCCCACTGACTACCATGGACACCAATGCTCTCACTGATTCTCTGCTTTGTTTGTAAAATCTAGAACTAAATCAGGACTGATTTGGAAGTAATTCTGCACTAGAGGAAAAACATCTTCCACCCTGGAAGATGACATGACTTCTCAATTCCCCTCTAATCTTGACTTGTTTTAGAGAAGTAGCCAAAGGATGAAACCTCTTATCTGGTGCTGCCGGTTCTCCCTTTGATTTGACCACTTCTGGCAGAAAAAATACTTCCGGAAGACGAAACTTCATCTAACGTCCTTGACAGCCTGGTCCCTGTCTCTCCTTTTGGCCACTCTGTGATTGGACAGCTGTGGGTAGACAGAGCAGGTGGAAAGCTCTTGTCAACTGTGACTGGTTTCATCAATGCTCCTTATGAAGAGTCCTGCAAAGCAATTCTTGGGAGTTTGTTTTAAATGGTTGGAGTACAGCAGAATCACCTCTCCTTTAGAGAAAGACAATTTTAGCAATAGTCCAAACATCACAACACAAAACTAGAAGCAAGAAATTTTATAAGAAACTGATGAGACACTTTATAAAAAAACTGAAAAAGATGTGCAGAAGAAGATTTGTTTGTGGTGAAGGATATAAAGAACATATAATTGTATTTTCGAGAGTTTTCATGAAACAGTATGACCATCAAATTAAGGTACCAACATTCACTAACAAGTATTAATTCGTCTGAGGAAGAGTAGTGTGGAAATATTCTAATATAGTGCTGTCCAAAAGAATTTTCTATGATGACAGAAATATCCCATTATCTCTGCACTGTCTACATGGAATCCACTGGCCACATGAATATTCAAAATGTGGCTATAATGCAATATGTATAATGAAGAAATGGATTTTTAGTATAATTTAAATTTAAATAGCCACATGTGACTAGTGGCTACCAACTGAACACTGTAGTTCTAATGCCCCATGGGCCCAAACCAGCGGTCTCTTTGGGGGACTCTTCAATCAGTGCTGAAGGGTAGGGGGTTGCAGCTGGGAAGCTCTTAACAGATCTGTTTGGCTACTTAAACAAGATCTAAAATTCTCTGCAGCTTCTGGAGGCAGGGGTGGCACAACCTGCTGCGAGGGGAGAGGACTCTTGGGAGGCCTGAGTGTGCTCTTCCAGCTGCTGCTAATGCTGATGGGACTGAAAGGCCTGGGAGTCTGGTCACTCGGATGGAAGGAGGCCCTCAGGCTTGGACCACCCCTGGGGCATTTGTGCATGAAAATCATCGCTGTGGGGTTGGCAGGGAGCTGGAGGTGGGGGGCGCTCATTTCCGGACAGGGTTTCCAGAGGCAGAGGAGGATTTAGGGGTCGTGGGAGGACCTGAGGGCCCTTTCTGGCTGCCTGCAGGCTGAACAGGCCCTTTCTTTTTGGGGATTAAGATCTTGTTCTTGTTCTTGAATACTCTGCTGGGATCCAACTTGTTCACAAAGGAGTCAGTCTCTTCGGTGAGCAGGTCTGAACTGTAGGTGATGGGTTTAAACATGCTGAACCATTGCTGAAAGGCAGGATTAGGAGAGATGGTCACAATTCAAATGAGAAATGTCCATGTTTATGCTCTTTAGTGGGGATACAGGGTAGAGAGTTTTTATGAAAAACTCCTCAAAAACCTATTAGCACTTCCTGTGAAAGTGGTGATGCACACATTACTTTGTGAGGTCTCATAATCTTTAAAGTAAATGCAGCATGAGAACTAGGAATCTGAATAAATTTCTTTCCTGCTGATCTAGTGAGCCCTGAGCCTGGGATGCTAGGTCCCAAATCAACACGGAACAGTGTCCTTCTAATTGTTCTCACCTCAGACCAGCCACTGCCCATCAGATGGGCTTGGCAGGATCTGTAATATAAACGAGGCACATCCATACTTTGGAATAACCTAGATCACTGAAAAGGACTCTCTGTGCTGAGAGGCACTGAGCTCCAAGATGGAGTGTTGAGTGAAAAGAAGGTGCACAACAATGTGAGTAATATACTGCACTTGTGATTGAGAAAAAAGGAACCAAAAATCACATGCAACAGAGTATCTTAGTAAGGGCACACAGGATGCTCTAACAGTGGCTGCTCATGGGGAGCCAGGAAATGAGACAGACTTTTCAACACTCCTGTGTGCGTGTACTGCCCGTCCCCAACCCACAGACAGACCTAAGGCCCTGACAGATTCATCAGAAAAACTCCCAGGTGGCTCTGAGGATAAGCCAAGTTTGGGAACCACTTATCTAGATCAGTACAAAGTGAGGTTGGATCATCTGCTTTGCTTATTCAACGTGAAGGTCTCTGGGTTCCATCCTGAATCAGACAGGAAAGCTGGGAATCTGAAACTTAGGCATTTCCTCAGAAGATTCTGATAGTTCTCCAGTTTAGGATGACAGGTGGTCCTTACCTTGGCCTGTGGGCTAATGCCATAGTTGGTGAAGGCGTACTGCCACTGGGGCAGGCCCAGGTGTGTGATGAGCAGGCGATAATAGGCGGTAAAGGTATCTGTGAGAAAATGCCAGTATAATGCTCTGTCCAGGAACCAGATCTCAGTGTCTTCCGCTAAGGCTGGAATAGCAAAGGGAACAAATAAAGGAAAGGCTTAAAATGGTTTTCCTTTTATCTATTAAGTCAATATGTACTCATGGTTTTAAAAAATTCAAATAGTACAGGAGATGTAAACTTAAGTCAAAGTTCCTTTTTTTCTCTTCCACTTCTCAGTCCCATTCTCCAGTGGCCACTGGTACCGGTTGGAAGTTGGTATTCTACAAATTCTTGATCGACTAACTGATCTGCTGGGCTTTTTCCATCTATGCATTAGGCTAACTAAGCAGCACTTAGAAGACTGGAAAGAGTATTCCCACCCCTAGTGGGTACACACTGTGGTCTCAGCTTTCCTGACAGAAACTCTGGCTTTCTGAAGAGTCTCTGTCAAGTACAGTGCTGTGAAAAACCACGCTGGACCAGCGCCCTCCTGGGAACTGCCTGTGCTGTCGTGTGCTGTCCTGGCGGGCCGATGCAGGCACTCTCGTTCCAGGGCCTGCCTCCCACATGCTTCTGACCTTCCATTCGTCTACTGGAGCCCCCCCTAGTTCATCCCCTGTCTAATGGCTGTAACATCGTCCTAAGTGGTCTCCATTCTCCACTCTCCTCCTCTTCCCAAACTGCTTATGGTCACATATATTTTCATTTGAATCCTGCCGCCTTCTGCTGAACATCCTCGAGTGCCTACTCTCTTCTAAGTTATGTCCAAACTCCTTTGCCTGGCTCTCAAACCTCCACACACACAGAAACAACCGGCTGTTGGGCTTCATCTCCTCTTCATCCACAAGATGGACCACAGGGGTCTAGTGAAGTGAAATTATTTGTCACTTCCCCCAAATGAGTTCTTTCCTACAGCATGGCTTTTACTCGTGTCTCTTTGCTTGGACACTTCTTTTACCCCACCAAACCCTTTAGTCCCACCCCATATCTTATTCCTACCCATAATTCCAGAGGCAGCTCCAAGGCTCTTTCCCAAAGATTCCCGTAGCTGAAGACCATCTCTCTTTCCCCAAAGATTCCCGTAGCTGAAGACCATCTCTCTTTCCCCAAAGATTCCCGTAGCTGAAGACCATCTCTCTTTCCCCAAAGATTCCCGTAGCTGAAGACCATCTCTCTTTCCCCCAGAGGTAAGGTAAATCCTGGTGTATCTTCTCACCCACACCGGGCAGACAGCTACTTGAAGAAGGCTGGGGCTTGTCCAGCTCTGCAGTTTCATGGTCCCTGGGACAGGGCCTGAGTTGCAGGTAGGCAGCCAGGTGGTGGCCACTGCTCAAGGGGCCAGAGCCTTTTTTTAAATTTCCTATCTGTGGTCTTAGACTGAAGTCTAGAAATTCAGGTTTTTATTGCTGTTTGTTGGCCTATATAAAAAAGTATTGAGGAAAGATAGTATTTTTCCTGGTTGTTTTCCTAACACATGAGCCTGCTGGAGGAGTTATAAAACAGAATGACAATTTCTTTTAGTTTTTATTCACATATTATCCTAATCCCATTATTTTGCAATAACTCATAACTGATAGTTTAAAAAGCCTAGTAATTGGCACAGAAGGGGATGCTCAGCGAGGTCTTGGCATCCCCTAGCTATGCGAGACTGGGCAGTGTCTCAGGAGGCCAGGGAGGAGTGTGCCTTTCCTGCGACGGCTGGAGAGCAAGGTCAGCCAAGGCTATACCCAACCTCCAGGGCCATGCTTGTCAATAATTCTTACCTGGTTTCCCTTTCTTGTAGACAAGGCAAACCTTCCCATTCCCATTGCAAGGGTCCAGCTCAAATATCACACTGCGAGAATCAAAGTGAGGCTTCTCGGGCTGGTTCTCACTGGCTGCAAACCCAGAAGGTAATGGTAATGTTCAAACATACTCAACTCAAACACATACTTACTCATCCAGCTTTGCTCGGATGAAAAAAAAAAGAGGCAAAAGCCTCTCAGACACATTCTCAAATATTTTCAAATGTAGACCAAAAGAATTCAGTACTCCAAATGCCCTGAACCTTATCTGTGGTCCAGGCCTGGGCTCCTCTATCATCAACAGTGTCAGGAATCTGGGAGTAGGTGACAAGAGCAAAACAAGCTGAACTTCCTGGGAGGGGGCACTCCATAAAGACAGAGACATCTGAATGACTTGATGTTGACGAAACTTTTTTTCTTTTTCCCAGATAACTGTTTTCCCCTTATTTATAGCAATTTAGGATCTTTTGATTAGAATCCCTTTTCCTTAGTCTAAAATGTACATAATAGTTCATTATAATGCTATCATGAACTATGTTATAATTAGTGCTAGGTCTGGCTCAAGTTAGAAATACCTCCCTAGAAATCAAATATCATGGAGTAACAAAAAAAAGGTACATTCTTAGAAATGCAAGCACCACAAACCTTCTCTCCTGCCTTTCATTACAGCTAACATGCAATAAAGATTAGTATTAGTGACTGGGATGGAGTTTACAAACCTAGAAGAGATTGAATAGAACAAAGTATATAAATATTTTTTATTTATAGATACCTAATTTTATATAAATGCATAAATATTTACATTTCTAATTTAAAATGTTTTTATTTTAACGTGGTTTCCCCTCCCGTAGAGGAAACACCTTCATATTTTTCTTGATTTCATATGATCCTAGACAGACATGTAGGTATATATTTAAATTCTGTCAAGACTATTTATTGTATAAAAATGGGATATCATACATATTATATCATTATATCTGAATCTTGCTTTCTATGCAATACTACCATGTGGAAAGCCCCGTAAAACATTGGGTATAACAAAAATTCATTCTTTTAATGGCTGCCTGGATAGTCTGTGGGAGTGGATGTACCCTAATTTATCCCACCATGCCCTACTGGTGGGCATTCACCTGTCATTATTCTGCTGTGAATGCTATAGTAATCATCTCTGGACAGGGCCTTATGTTCTGGTGTTTCCACTACAAGAATACCTCATTTATTATGCTTCACAGATATTTGTGTTTTTTATAAAATGAAGCTAAGACTATCAGCAAATTATGACTCACTGAAGGCTCAGATGATGGTTGTTAGTATTTTTGGGCAATAAAGTATTTTGTAATTAAGGTATATACATTTATTTAAGACATAATGCTATTGCACACTTAATAGACTACAGTACACTATAAACATAATTTTTGATTTCCCAAATTTTTTCTCTGTTACTCGTCCTGTGAACTTGGGCTGTCTTCATCCTACTGGCTCTTAGCTTTGTCTTCTCAGTTCATGCAGTGCAGGAGGTTCTGCTCAGGTTCCCTCACTATGCTGTAGGCCGCAAACTCAGGTGATAGCTGGGATTCACCTCAGTTTCTCACCTCTCAGCTCAAAGCCTTTGTTGCCTGATGGTCAGTGTCTTGAAACCCATTGTTTTATATGTTTTGTCTGTTTCTGTTGTTGTTTCAGGTTGGAGGATACATTTGGTCTCTGTTATTCCATCGTGGTGAAATCAAGTCTACACTGCAGGGTCACCAGATTTTAGCAGGCCTGACTGAGGTCTGCCCTCAGGTCTAAAGTTCAACTAGGAAGCTCATTCGGTGTGCTTCCCTTCTGCCATTTGTAGGTGCCACTCCAGTTTCTGCTTGTTTTTGGTTACTCTCCAGACCTTGTAGGTAATAGTTTAAAATTATTTCCCAGAGCTTAGAGTATTATTGGCATAAGTTTTGATTTGATAAAATGTAGTCAAGTCTGCCATTACCAAAAGCAGAAGGTCAATATTTGAATTTTCTCCCAAATCTGCAATGTCACTGCTAGTTTCTCGCTAACTCTGGTTTGGTTTGATCTCCATGTGTGTATTAACACACTGTTTTACAGTTTACACCTCATAATTTCACCCTGGGAGAACCAGTGGATCTGTTACCTGCTATCTGTGCTGGTTCTATTCACGATGTGTTTTTGGTTATTTTTTAGTAGAAATTATTATTATTTTTTAATCTTTATTGTTGAATGTATTACAGATGTTCCTCATTTTCCCCCATTGACCCCCTCTTCCCCACTCCCGGCCCCCTCCTGCCTTTTCCCACACTGTTGTCTGTGTCCATTGGTTATGCATATAAGTTCTTTGGTTTATTTCTTCCCACCACCCAACCCCCTTCTCTTTGAGGTTTGTCAGTCTAGCAACCAATTTATTCTTCTTAATCCCTTCACCATTTTCACCCATTCCCCCAAACCCTCTACCATCTGACAACCAACAAAATGTTCTCTGTATCAACGAGAATGTTTCTGTTCTGCCTATTCATTTTGTTTGTAAATTCCATTTTCGATAGATATGTATTCACTGCCATTTTGTTTGTTCATATATTTTATCTTTTTCTTCAAAAAGACCCTTCAACATTTCATAAATAACTTTTTCTTGTCTGGAAAAGTCTTTATATGGCCATCGATTCTAAATGACAGCTTTGCAGGATAGAGTCATCTTGGTTGTAGGTTCTTGCTTTCCACTCTGAATATTTCTTGCCATTCCCTTCTGGCCTGCAAAGTTTCTTTTGAGAAATCAGCTGACAGTCTTATGGGAACTCCCCTGTAGGTAACTAACTGCTTTTCTCTTACTGCTTTTAAGATTCTCTCTTTGTCTTGAACCTTTTGCATTTTGATGATCATGTGTCTTGGTGTGGGCCTCTTGGGGTTCATCTTGTTTGGGACTCTCTGTGCTTCCTGGTCTTGTATGTCTGTTTCCTTCACCAAGTTAGGGAATTTTTCTGCCATTATTGTTTCAAATAGGTTTTAAATTTCTTGTTCTCTCCCTTCTCCTTCTGGCACCCCCAAGATGCGAGTGTTGGCACGCTTTAAGTTGTCCCAGAGGCTCCTTACACTATCCTCATTTTTTTGGATTCTTTTTTCTTTTTGCTATTCTGATGGGGCGTTTTTTGCTTCTTTATATTCCAAATCGATGGTTTGCTTCTTGGCTTTACCTACTCTACTACTGAATTTGTGTAAATTATTCCTTATTTCAGTTAGTGCCTCATTCATTCTGACTGGTCCTTTTTTATGCTCTTGAGGCCCTCACTAAGTTCGTTGAGGTTCTCACTAAGTTCACTGAGCATCCTTATAAGCAGTATTTTGAACTTAGCATCTGTTAGGTTGCTTATCTCCATTTCGCTTAGTTCTTTTCCTGGAGATTTTTTCTGTTCTTTCATTTTGGACCTGTTTCTTTGTCTCCTCATTTTGGCTGCCTCCCTGTGTTTGTTTCTGTGTATTACTTAACGAGCAGTATGGGGCTAGCTGAGACCAGATGCTGCTTGTTTGAAAGAATTTAGAAAAACCTGAAGCAGGATCCAAGACAGGCTAATCCTATGGTTAAGCAACTGGCACAGCTTGGGTGGGTCTTAAAGCTGGGTGGGGCGAGGCCTCAGGGAATCACCAGGGCAGGGCAAACAGTGCGAGCCAGGTTGCTGGAGTCCCAGATATGGCAGCTGTCTGCCCCCCCAGGGAGGCTCACCAAAGCCCTCTGACAGCACGTTTGTCCTGGAGAAAGCCCCCTCTCCAGCCCTTGCTCCAGTGCCAAACAGCTCAGTTCTTCCCTGTATGTCTCTGGCGCCCCTCGAGCTGCCTCCCCTCTAAGCCTAGAGGGAGAGAGTCCAATAAGTCCGTGCAAGGGCCCTTTAAGGAGCTGCCTGGGGCTCCAGTCGCCTCGGCCTCCCTGAGCCTCAGTTCCCACTGGTTTTCCCAGCCAGAAGTTATGAGGACGTTACTTCCTGGCACTGGAACCCTGAGCAGGGCTCCTGGTGTGGGACAGGGACCCCTCAGTCCTCAGGAAGGACCTTCCCAGCCGAGGTCTCCTCCTGATTTTTATCTGCCACACATGTGTGTGAGACCAGCCTGTCCACCTCCGCCTCTCTGACCAGTCTTGATGTGGTTGGTTCTTTAATTCCGTAGTTGTAGGACTTCCGTTCAGCTCGATTTCAGGCAGTTTTGAATGATGGTTGTTCTGTAGTTTAGTTGTAATTTTGATGTGGTTGTGGGAGGACGCGATACCGTGTTTACCTACGCCGCCATCTTGAGCAGTAGAAATTTTTTGAAAAATCATTTATAAGAACAGTCTGATGTCTAGAATAATGTTATCTTCCTCTAAGATAGAACCTTCTTTTGATAAAAGAGCTTCATATTGAGATATAATTTACCTACCATATATTCACTCATTTAAATTGTGCCATTTTTAGTATATTTACCGAGTTGTGCAAATGTTAACAGTTTTAAAACACTTCTCTAGAATGAGCTTCTGTTTCTTTCTGCTGGGCCCCCGAGGAAATTAATAATCTGGGATCAATTCAGTCCAGTTTTGGGACTTGGCATTTCCTGGGACACACAGATGACTTATGCCTGAGCTTCAGCCCACATGAAAAGTGGTTACTTCTGGTAAATTCTGTCATCTAGGTAGATGCCAACCCAAAGGATAGTGGTTTTTTTCAGTGTGCCATCTTTTGTAGTTCTTGGACTCCATTTTATTTTCTTTGTCTCACATATGGGTCAAATTCCAAGCTTTACAGCAGCCTCATTGTCTCTTCTGAAAAGGACAATGTACCCCAGGCAAAAGCAACACCAAATGTTGAGCCTCTTCCCTAGATCTGTTTTCCTCTGGCTTTTGATCTGGTACTACCGCATCATCTTGTTAGCTCCTTCATGTTCTCAACTTGCCCTGACACCTCAGTAGTCTAGCAGAAAGGCTGCTCTGATATATTTATCTGCCATTACCAGAAAAGGAAGTCTCTTCATCAGTTTAAGTATGGTCCTGAAAATTACACAGATGAGCTGTGCTTTTTATAGCATTCCGACAGTCTTTGTTTTTCAAAAGAGAAAGTCAATCCAGCATACTTAATATG